AAAAGTTTTATTCTAGGACACTCACTATTCCCACACATCTTTCAGCTCCAACGAACGGTAGTCGGTAGCAAGGCATGAGGCTAAGTCTTTAAAGTGCATGTATATCAGATAGTGGATTCAGAGTTGTTGTATTGTGTTGACAACCAACTTTTTAGGAGAGCTAGGTATGACAACTAGTTTCCACAAGGATTGTTTTACTCGTTTATTATTATTTGTCCCTTGGGTTCCTAGTGGAACATACGGCTTCAGTAGCACGTTTCCATCCCACTCTCTTCTCTGTACTCTTTTCAACCTCGCTCCACGACTGTCCAGAAGTTTTAATTTCTTCTTCACATGATCTCCTCCATGTCACCCTCAGCTGGAACGCCCAACTTGTCGTTTACCCTTCGGATTCCACTCAACGGCCTAGTCTGACACGTGATTTCCCCAATCGGCCTTCTCAGTGTATGCCCAATCCAATCCAATCCATTCCCACTTTCTTCTGCATATTTGTTGGGCAATGGGTTCTTGCTTCGTTGGTTCGTTGCCCAACCAGAGTGAGTTCCTTGTTACTCATTCTTATTATTCTGGCCATCTGATCCGATTTTCAGTGTCAGTATCGAGTGAGCGTAGGCAGCAGCTGTTGGTGAATGTCTGTAGTTTGTTGGAAATGCTTTTCGTGACGCGCCAAATCTCTCAACTATTCCACAGAAGCACTGACGTGACTGACTTATTGTTGAAAATCCGGATCTTGTTTTTTATACTGAGTTGATTGGAATAGATCTCCACACTGATTTCAGATTGATGAAAGCCTGTCTTGCTTTTCTGATCCTGGCTGGCTTTGACGTCGTCATCTGTGCCTGTGGCGCCTGTAGTTGAAACGACGCTGCCTCGGCAAGTGGGTGAAAGACACTACTTCACTTAGGTTTCTCCCATTGATGGTGACTGGTGTTTGTTGATGTTGTTGCTGGTTGAGTATCTTCATCAACTCTGTCTTTTATACAATAACTTGAAGTCCAGTCTTAGCTGCCTTGCCTCTTCTGTCAACTTGTTATTATGGCCTGTAGATCTTTGAGTTTGTGCAACAAGACATTAGACATAAATCATCATCGGCGAAATCCAAAGTATCTTCTGCGATCTTTTCATCGGTGAAGCCAGCGCATACCTATCTTCCAGCTTCTTACAGTTGTCTGTTGTATGATCCAGTCCAGTCCAGTCAACCACAATCAAGAAGATGATAGGTTATAGTAGGCGGAAACCTTGTCTTACTTCTTTCTATCCTCACTTCAATGGCATCACCGAGCTTTCCATTGCTGTGTGAATCACTTGGCATGTAATATCATATAGCATATAGCCGATGTTAAATGAGGTTGATAAATGTTTGCGCACTAAAACCGTAGTGTTGAAGCAGCTGCCTGCCAATAACTTTTCGGTCGACGCTGCCAAAGGCCTTTTCAAAGTCGATGGAGTTGAGGTTTTGTTGAGTTGACTGTCATTCTATGTTCTGTTCTATTATGATGTGTAGCGTTGAAATTTGGTCCGCACATGATTTTTATTTCCTGAAACCAGCCAGCAAGCTTGTCGCAGTCTTCATTTGAGTCCAGGGCATCTTTTAGTCTCTCAAGAATGGTGCGGCTTAATATTTCGCTTGGGTGGGTGTGGACAGCAGCATGGTTCTACGTCAGTTCTTGCAAAGACTGAGGTCTATCTTCGTTGGGATTTTGACAAGGTAGCCCTTCTTCCAGTCAATTGCCAGGCACCTTTCTTCTTTCCAAACCTTCTGCAGTAGTGGTGTGAGCATGACCGCTGTTTCCAGTGCTTCTAGCGGAATTTCATCTGGTTCTGCTGTTTTCCCGGATTTCAGCAACTTTATGGCACTCAGGACTTCACTTCTGCTTTTGTTGGACGGCTCGGTTTCACTGGTAGTTCTGTAGCTGGGCTGCTGGTGGTATTTCTGGACGAGCTGCAGGTGGTGGTGGTGGATTCAAGAGCTTTTCGAAGTGGTCGGCCCATCGTTTCCTTCGTTTCTCCTCTATGGTAACTAGGTTTCCTTCACTATCTTTCATTGGTTTAGTCTGCGTTGATCGCTTCCCTCCCATACAAGAACCTGGTTATTTGATAAAGTGTTGTCAGGTCTCTCTTACATACAACCTGTTCTGCCCCACCTGCCAATGTGTCGTAGAAGTGTCTTCTGTCTTTCCGCGCACTCTTCTTTACTTCTTTGTCCAGTGTTTTATACGTTGTACTCATTCCCACTTTTCGTTGTTCATCCTTGCACTGGTTTATCTTCTACTTCACCATATATCTCTCACTCTTCGATCAGCTCCCATGTATCTGTCGAGATCTATACCTTGTATTGCCTCTTCTTCTTTATTCCTAACACGGTTATCCAGGTTTCGTTCCACATCTCCTTCAAAGAGTTCCAGTGTCCATCCGCACAGATTTCTTCAGGAATGTTGCTCAGTATCTCCCATTTTATCTTGATGACTGACTGACGTGAAGATGTCCTTTGTGGTTTCGTCCTGCAGTTCAGTTTCTGTTCTAAGTGTTAAACTTGGATTCCGGTCTATCACCAACTTCTTTGAAAGCTTTCAACTTTGTTTGGAAGGTAGGTTCCTTGCATCAGATAGTGAGTGGTGTGGACCTACATCTGCTCCCATTTTGATCTTAACTTGTCTCCAGTAGGCTGACTTCGTCTCCACTTTCTTCACATTGAAATGAAGTCGATCTGATTGTTAGTGTGTCCTGGTGTCTGGCGAAATCGACTCCATGTCGCTGCCTTGTGAATATCCTTGTGTTTGTACACACTGCCGGACTCTAATCACCAAATCGTTGAATGCGCAGAAGTCTGGAAACAGTTCTCCATTGTCATTCATTTCACCGAGTGCTTCTCGACCCAAGATCAGTTCTCTTCCTGTGTTGTCCGCTTCCAGTGTAGCATTCATATCACCCCACCCATTAGAATTTTGATGTCACCATCGCCAGTTCGAGCGGAGTCTTGTCCAGTACTGCTTGCAGTGGTCTCCAGAATTCCTCCTTCTTCTCTTCGTCTGCATTATTTGTAGGTGCGTAGTGTAGCATAGTACGATTGTGACTTTCCATCTTTTTTAGTTGGATCTTGCTATTGTGATCCTGATCGTGGAGAAGGAGATTGGTTCCCATTGCCTGAGAGCCTTTGATGGTGTTGAGGATATCATTATAGCCACTCGGAAACTCAGTGTGCTTGTGGTTGTTGTCTGGGTGACAATATCAGAGTAGATTATTGACTCTTCAGTTGACAGTTTGCAGAGTCCACTTCCATTACATCTGCTGCCGCAGATTCCTAGCACTTTTGTGCTATATCTTCTCATCCTCTTCGCAATCTGGGTAGCCTTGCCAACCAGCTTCAAACATTGTGCAGACATTCCATATCTCCATTCTTACTTCCGATTTCATTGAGTGAGAGAAGACATATCGGCCAACTGGCCAACCGAGGACTTTCACCAACCTACGTCATTTCTTCTCCCCGATTCCAGCGAGGAATAAGTTTGTTTACATTTTTTACATTTTCTTTGTGCTTTGAAGTTTCTTTAGTGATTGGATTGGTTTTCCGGGGTGGGGTTGTTAATCCTATGCCAAACCTTTTCTCCTTATCCGGGCTTAGGAGAGGGTAGTAACTATGATCTTGTTAACCAGGAGAGTTTCGTTTCACTGGCAACATAAAATTAACAGTAGTTCCTGAGGTTATAATTAGAACTGATATCACTAAAAGTGCGAGCTTATCGTGCTAAATCTCAAAAATTAATCCGCAAATGTCATGCTTTGCCGAAATCAAGTAGTTTTTGACATTCCTCAAAAAGACTTATCTGCAAGCGATTTTGATAAGCTTCATGTTCCATTGGAAATTCAATGCAGTGTCAATTAGAGCTGGAATCAACCATTTACAAACAAGATACTTGAGTTGACACTAGTTACTTGTTGAACCAGAACACATTTGAGGATCCGTAACGAAATTACAACCCGATGTGGCCATTAAATGCTGAATGACTAGCACCGATTCAAGTTGATAAAGTAGGGAAATAATAAAGTCTCGAACTTTGCGCTTAAGGATGCAGGTTTGAATTTCGGTGGGTTTAAGAATGCGAGACTGTAGATCCGCGCTTCACATAAATCTGGAAAAAGACTAACTGAGCTAAGAAATGTATTCCTTTTCAATTTGGTTTTCATCTAAAGATCTACATTAATATATGGTTTTACGATTTAATCAGAGTACCAGTCACGTGGTGGGGGGTTGGTGAACAATAATCTTAGGTTTCAAGTAAGTCATAAAGATGATATTTTAGAAATAATGATGTAAATGATCAATAAAGTTATTAAACTTGGAAATATGAAGCAGGTTATTTTTAGGTAAATGGAGTGGTTTTTGATGAGTGTTCAGTCATAAACTATAGGTGATTACGTAATAATCAGAAAAAAGAATACTAATAGAAACAAAAAGGGGTAGAGGTGTACAAAGTAAACCTAGAAGTTACGTCATGTTGATGGCCACGGTAATGAAAGTAGTTGAACAAACTTCTTTTGAATACAAGGGTTAGGTTTGTAAAGGTGGATTGCAATTGCCTCTGCTATGTAAAGCAAGCGAGTGCGTAATCCATGTGATAAATTAACTGGATGAATAATTTTGAAAGCTTTTCTAGTATCCACCTGGTGTCGCGTGTCAACTAGGTGTGCAAGTATGGAGCTTTTTGTTGTTCTAATTTGTCCCTTGCTCAACCATGATGGGTGGTGTTCTGAAATTCGACGATGGATATGCCTCATTGACGCAGTGTTGCGTCATTTAGCATGGTGGCTAGCTTGTAAGCCGTAGCAGTATACTTCTGCCAGTACTGAACGCCTGACAGCTACTTCTTTTACCATTCATTGACTAGTGATGAAATAACTGCTACTACAACTATACACTTCACCTCAAATTCAGTAATCATGTATACACTAACAAAATGCTGTTAAGTATATTATTATTTCTCTTATATTTCAGAACAAAAATGACAAAATTCGAGACTTACAAAGAGACATTTATGTCAAAAATTAACGAGCCTAACTCACAGCGTCGAATGGTTCTTTTTGTTGTCTGCATAGCATTACTACTGGATAATATGTTATACATGGTTATCGTACCCATTATTCCCGATTATCTTCAAAATTTACGTGCGATGGATACGAAACAAATTTACTGGACGAACGGCACACATACAGAAAGATTAAAAGATAACAATTTTGTATTTAACAATTCACAGGGTCAGTATAGACTAAAATGGCTTGTGCACCAGTCAGAAGCTAAGATTGGCACACTGTTCGCATTCAAAGCTATTATACAGCTATTATGTAATCCTATATCAGGGACTGTTATCGATCGAATCGGCTACGACGTTCCAATGATGTTTGGTTTATGCATTATTTTCCTGTCAACGTCTGTGTTCGCATTTGGAAGTTCCTACGGATTAATGTTTATCGCTAGAGGACTTCAAGGCATGGGTTCGGCGTTTGCAGATACAGCTGGTTTGGCAATGATAGCTGATCGATATACGAATGAATATGAACGTACAAAGGCATTAGGAATAGCATTAGCATTTATATCCTTTGGTTCGTTAGTAGCACCCCCGTTCGGTGGAATAGTTTATCAATATTTCGGAAAAGAACTGCCATTTATTACACTTGCATTTATAGCTCTTTTGATGGTTGTTTGTTGCTGATTATTATGCAACCAGTTAGAATCGAGCGAACAGTTTTAAAAACTCAAGGAAATTTGCCTAAAGGAACTCCTATACATCGATTATTAATGGATCCTTATATTGCGATCTGCGCAGGATGCTTGACTGTAGCCAATGTATCTCTGGCTTTCTTAGAACCAACTATATCAACATGGATGTCGAACAGTATGAAGGCAACGAATGCCCAAGAAGGCCTAGTTTGGTTACCTGCATTCTTACCACATTTAGCCGGGGTTGTGACAACAGTTAAACTGGCTGACAAATATCCAAGTAAACAGTGGTTAATGGCTGCAGTTGGTCTAGCTATTGAAGGTGGAAGTTGCTTCTTGATACCATTCTGTACTAATTTTGTTGTACTTATGATTCCTATCAGCATTCTGTGTTATGGTATTGCATTAGTTGATACGGCAATATTACCTACGATGGGTTTTCTTGTAGATACGCGACATGTTTCAGTTTATGGATCAATTTATGCGATAGCCGATATTTCCTATAGTTTAGCTTATGCATTAGGACCAATTGTTGCTGGTGGTCTTGTGGATACAATTAAATTTTTCGGACTTAATATTGTTATGACATTAATCACTTTAGGTTATGTGCCTGTAATGTATTTACTTCGCAACTGTTATAATGTTGAAAAACCTCAAGGAAGCAGAGTGCCACCATTAAAAGACAACTCTATTGAAGGTTCACAGGAACCAGGCGATTATGCATCTCCAATAAGTTATCCAGGTTATGAGCAGTATTCGGCAATAAAAAGCGAATCTAACCACCATTCAGTTAATCCTATAAACCAACATAATTATCAGTCAGCAATAAGTTACCCAGATGATACTGAAGAGAAATTTATTACACAACGACCAGATTATGCCTATTAAATATCAATCATTTACATTTGAACAATGATCTATTTAAATCACGTTTAATCCCAATAACAAAATATTTCATCGCAATAAATTTTACTCTAATAATGAATAAGTCTATCTACTTATTACTGATGGACACAGATCAGTGAAGAGTTCCGCATGAACTGTGAAAAAGTGGTACAGACAAACAAAATAGTCGTTTTTGATATCTATGCATAAAAAACTGATACTTATTATTTAAAGTGAGGTGGTGAATATGCACTCAAATAAAACTGCATTTATTTCTTAAAGAAGTCAGTTTTTGATCTTTTCTTCCTACTCTTTCTTACTTTGTCTATCCAATTGAAAGACATTTTCATGAGAAACGAATTAGTTAATCTTTCATTTACTCTGATTCAACTAACAAGGAAATAATCATTTATTCTCAAAATCTCGCTTAACTTATCTGACTAAAAAGAGGTATCTCAATATTAAAAGAAAACTCAAACGTATTTTATTTTACTGATGTGTAAATCAAGTTTAAAAATGAAGATACTGTCACTTTATTTATTTCTCACATATGTGCATATTCATATCTATGCAAATCGCAAAGTAATAAGTGTATTCAATGCACATTCTAAATTTTGCTGTGCTTTTCCTTCAGAAAAAATGCTGTATTCAGTTTACCTTCCTAATATTTCTGTGTTCGACCTCATTAACAAGTAAAATATGTGTGTGCATCTAACATTTATTATTAAAAATACAGAATATTATGTAAACGATGAGTAAATTTTTTTTGTTTACTTGTATGCAATGATATTAGTGTGTTGCTACTAATGATATTTTAAAAAGTAGTGTTTGGTATTATTAAATGAATTCTTGAATGGCTGTATTCTTTCTAAAACATACTGTGACAGAAATGAATAAATATTCTCACTGAAGCTTGGTATGAACTAGTATTAAGCACATGTTATTCAAAGTATGAAGCTAAGTGAGATCTCCAATATATCTCATTTACTAAAATATCTTCACTGTTGTAAAACATGATTGGTAGATAAAATGTTGTACATGTAGACTCCAATTAAATTCATTCTTTAAATCCAACATCTGGATGTACATCAAGATCAACCATTTATGTTACCCAGGCAATGTTACTGATACCTTCTTCTTATAAAAAATTATGTGTTGCTTGCAATACACAACATATCATTCATTAGTTGTTAAATGATCTTTAACATATAAAGTCAGTGAGATATGAAATCGTTCGTGAAGCATTTCATCTTCATCTAATTAGTCCTGTGAATTTAAGAAAGTGTTTTTATCACTCTAATCGTTCCCTAAAAAAAGCCTATTTACACAACTTTCGCTTTCACTGTCACTCATTAAGAGAACATCCATGCTTCTGGAAGAAGAAGCTGGGAGTCAACAATCTCTAGGAGAATTTATATCTCTTAGAAGTCATTAACTTGTTTCTATAGGAGGTGGGTGTAAGCCTCATCAAAGATAGGACACTAGAAAGCAAGATGATGGACTCCATATTTGATTTATAACACACAGTGATATAATACTACTTACTTGATGAGGTTTTGAGCATAAATTATTGCTCATAATCATATAAATGTAATCACACTGCTTTCAACATTTGATTTTTATAGTTATGTCACTTTATATTAGTTGTTTTTATTGGTAGCAAAATTTTCCATATCTCTGGTATAGGTCTGTGTTATAAGTTAAATAAACCAACTTAATATGGAATTAAATTCTACTACAGTGCCCAAGTTTTACACTTATATTAAAGATGATCGACTGCAGAAATTAAAACTACTATTATAAATCAGTAGAAGGGAGGTGATCAGTTTTAAAAAAAGAAACTGTGAGCAGCAAAATTCCAAAAGTCCCTGTCTACTTAACTATCCAGCACTGACAAGTATAAAAGATTACGAGAGGAAGAGATGTGAAAGTAATACTCTAATACACATGTTAAACATGTTTAATAAAAGATAAGAAATTTCCTTTTATGGTTGAAGTATGCAGGATTTATTCATACAATGGTTGATAACCAACATAATCATTTTCTTTTCGGTATTGGAAAGTAGGAATATCAGCTTTGAAAATCTCCTAGTGATGGCATATTCAAAGTTAGCGCTAGCCTGACTAGCAGCGCACTTTTCCTGTGTAATTATGTTTCTTCAAAGACTGAACAATCACGGTGTGGTATTCACTTGTATGCACCTTCAAAACCTAAAAGTGTTTTGAAGAAAATATATTGGTATGCATTATTCACCAAGCTTTTTCCCTCTAATGAGCTTGTTCTTTGTATTGTTGAAACATCTTAGTACTTTCAACAGTTTTTTATGAAACAGGACATCATGCAGATGAAAAAGATGAAAAATGAAAATTAGGTATACCTTAAAAAGATGGTTTAATTTTTCTACTTAAACTAATTTTTTGTTAGAAAATTATACCTTTTTTGATCATTTCAGTCGGTTAAATGTCCCATCCAATAAAAGAATTCGTGAGAAGGTTGTCTAACCTAGATATTGAACAATACCCAGAATGGGATCTAACTGTGAGTAAAATTTGTTCATTTTCTTCAGTCACTTCTATTTAAATACATGTTAATTTTTATCTGAGACAATGAAATCCCAAGTTGGTATTCATCACGAACTAACATCATTTGGAGGAACACTAAGCATCTGGGACCTCTGAGTAGCTGTTTCGTTCCACTATGGACTCCTTAGCAGTGCACACCCATGACAACATCAGGGATAGAACGCAGGGCTTTCAGGTTTCATGGCCGGCGCGTTACAATTAAGCCAATGGATCCAAATCTAGTGGTCCATATTTCCCAATTCTGTAGCTTACATTAAGTCTGAAGCTATGTTGAAAGAAATGACTAGTATGCTGTTCAAAACTTTTCTTGCAAATATTTGAGATTATGAATCATATTTATTGACCATTCTTCACTAGTATGACAAGCATATTTCATGAATATTTATGAATTTCCTCAGTTAAATCATCCATTCTTGATAAGAACGACTGTAAATACAGTTTTCTAGTAGACTGTCATGAAAGATTAGAGGAGTTTACTGCATATAGTTGTAGGTACAGCTAAATCTGAAGAAACTGTCATCCTGGTCGGTTGCTTTGGTGGCTGATAAGGTAGATGAACGTGAATTCTAACAAGTTACCAAATTAGAAGCAGTAGGATATACTTTTACATTTAAGTACTCAACTCAGGAGAACAAAGTGAAGGGAATTGTACTATATGAAGAAATGGCTGAATCAAAATGTGATGAGTTTACAGACTGAAAATTCCCTATTTCCATACTATCTTTATACGAGGGACTGATTATGTTTCCATCTGGTACATGATTGGCTATCTTAGCTCAGTACTAAGCAGGTACTTCAGTCGCCAAATTAAAGACAAAAACAACGAGCCTTGAATAATTTGTGCAAACACAGAATATCTCTTTGATCATTATCTTAAAATCTCTTCTAACCAACCTATATTTATTACCCATCCTCAAACCAGTATAGGAATCGCCAGCTTTTCTGATGGCGTAAAGAAAAATGAGATATTTCAATGAGTTTGATGGGATATTTCGTCAAGAGTAGTTGATAGCCAAAGTAAGACCAGAAATGAAAAGTTTTCGATCACCGTAAAATGTCTATTCTTGTCTGTATACCACATCGCAGTAGCTTGTAACGTTCATAGTTAAAAAAGCAGTTTTTTCGAATGTGAAAAACTTTGAAGCATGCAGAAATCTAAAATCACGTATTTGACAGGTTAACACAACTATCCTACTACCATAGTCCAATTCAAATGCCTTTAACCAAACATATACCTGGAAATATATGTTAAAACCAGTCGGTTCACCTTAAACTTAATTAATTGGCATTTCCTTTAAATGTATGCAATCCAAAGGAGTCGAAATTGGTCAAACACTCAAGTTCACTGGTCTAAATTAACTAAGAGAAGCCAATCTTCATAGGCACAATGTATAAGCACCTGCAGTTATTAGAAATTTCAACGTAAGCCTAACGTAAGGATGGCTTCGAAGGTGAATGAAATTAGTACATGCCCCTGTGACACTCGACATACCATTGGATATCTCTTAAGTCTCAGTGTCACCATTCACACTACAAATGAATCAACTTTTCGACAGATTTCAATAGTTGGGTGCAAGTAAAGGCTGCTGTCAGTCTTGCAGAAGCACTTCGCTCGTTCAAGTTGCGAAGTACGTACCATATTCTGTTCACCAACTGACTTAACGCGGCATTTAGTAACCTGTACGTTGTTGCTTAGTAAAACCATGTCCTCCGGATACCTGAAGTCGGAAATTCATTCATCTGGTAACAGGTCTACACAGCCACCAGGCACTAATTTTAGAGCTGTCCCAAGGATGTTATCTATAGTAAAATTAAAGAAGAATTACCCATTCCAGTCCCTCTGTTGATTCAAAGCAATCAAAAGAGGTGGCTATCAGCCTTCTCTCTAGCTGAGACAATTTTCACAAGCCTTTCAAGATATCAACAAATCTTTTGAGGATACCCATGTTTAACAGACAACTGCAGAATAAGACCCTGTCTAACTTATTGAAGAAGGCCCTAATAGTAAGAAATACGACAGTCGTTGGCCTGCAACGTGTGTAATGGTATCCAAACATCTGAAGGAACGTGGAATGGTTACCAGCGTAACAACAACTTAAGGTTAACGTGGTTTGCCCCCTGTGAATCAGTTTTCAGTGTACCTTACTGATCCAAGAGGACGGATAGCAGCTGAAAATTCAGAGGTTACCGGTGGCAGATTAACACCTCTATGATTATCAGATGCACTATAGGGACACCCTTTAAAAATGGTTACAAAGATGACCTCACACCTGAGTGATAACGTACCACACCTCCTGAAATATGCCAGTCAGTTCCATCTCTAACTATAGTCTCATCTCAATCCTTGAGAGAAGTAAGGATAAGTTATCTGGGTTGGGCGCCTAACGGTGCTTAGGGGTGTAGAGTCTTCAACGAACCTTTACTTCTTTACATAAGTCATCGTTAATCGACCATGGAATACAGGACACTGAAGTTAGTGGTTTTGAAAGAGTAGGCATCGAAACGACTTTTTGAATCCCCACACTTACTGTTCCAGACTTAATAAAGTGTTATGAATCTAAGTACTACCTACTTCAAATACCTTCTCACTGACACTAGGCTTCTTACCGCTAGTAGCTGATATTGATATATGGATCCCTTACTTCCACCTCACTCATATATTCTAACCATCAGGCCTTTTGGTTCTTGCAAACATTCTGCCTGATCTATTTCACAAGTGACCTATGCACTCCACTATACTCACTGCCTACCAAAATTTATCGACAAGCCTCAATAGGTGACAACCAGCTCAAAGAGATCCACTTTTTGTAAGCGGAACGTCCTTTGTGACCATAAGCAGCTTAACTGTCTGTTTTCATAGTGTACTGCAAGTGCCACCAACTATCATCTATAATTTCTGGAGTTTCAACAGCTAGCGTTAATTCTAGCTTCGTTGGGTACTTAGTTGTAGTGCTAAGTGCAACCAGTTTGCCTGCATCAACCTGATTATGAGTATGATTTTGGTGATCATCGAAAAATAGGATGGAATGGCCACACAATAAAGTGTAAGAAAAATCTATAAAGCTGCTTCAGAAGGACATGTAGTCCAGAATGAAGTAATACTACCAGCAGTCCAGGTTTGATTGGCAGAGAAAGGATGCCGGGTAGTATAACAGGAGTGACTGTGATTAAAGCTTATGCTGACTAGAAACTGGTTTGAATCTGCACAAACCTGTAGGAGACAATCCCTATATATGGCCTGAAATTAACTCATCCATATTATGTAGTACTTTAAAGGCTGTTTTCATGTCTATCTTATGGTTAGTTTCTAGTATATGTTTAGCGATAGACGAAGATGGATGTTTGTCACCTGCACTTATCGGATCTGTTGAGGTCATTTGTTTTTGTAGCCACTTAGGTACGTGTTCAGCCTTCCTTAACTGCATATCACGATTACTCCTCCCTATATATGTGTGTCCACACATACATGTAAATTGATAACACAGTGGGATGTGATGTAATCGTTTATATGTTGTTTCGGTTTGTGCTGTAGCATGCTGTAACAAATGACCTCAACAGATCCGATAAGTGCAGGTGACAAACATCCATCTTCGTCTATCGCTAAACATATACTAAAAATCATCCATATTAGCCACGTAAATGAATTTCTATCAGATCTAAACATCTGAACTATTTATTTACTTCCCCTGCTGATAATGCGATAAATAGCGAGCGTACCTGATGTAGAAGGTCACTTGTTGTGTGTCAGAGCTCATCCTTGGCCGATTTCAGACCACAGTGTGTTGAAGCTAGGCAAAGAGACGAACATACATCCTTAATCTTGCCAACTGCTTTTCACTGTCATGGTACTTCCTAGCCTAACAGTACACAGACGACTTTTGATGGAATCCAGTTGATTAGCGGGGTTTCGGTCCTGGCACCCACTGGGAAGCCGACATCAGCAAGACAAACTACAGGCTCTCCAGAAAAGTGCGATATCAAGAAACGTTTTGAGCTGACAGATGAAGTAATTACTTGAAGTACTTGTATGCAGGTTTCTGAGAAACAGCATATGTCAGCAGTGACTTCTGTAAGAGTCCTAACCAAATCTATCTGTTGTACGATTTCCATCAACATCTGATCTTTGAAGATGGCCAGACTGAACCCTACGCATGGTTTCAGAGTAATTGTGCAACATAACAAAGAGGTGGCTATTAATCCTCTACCTTTACATCACTCCTAAACTGCGGCCTACTTATGATGCAGTTTACTTTTAAGCTCAGAAATCTCATGTCTCATAGTAAATACGATTTGTTCAGCACACTGCGAGGAAATATAATGAATGTGGTTTTACCTCTTACTTTGATTACCTCCTACTGATTTACCAGCGACATAACTCAAATGACACGGCTTTAGAAATCAGTACTGCTTATCAGTCGAGTGAACCTACTTTTTTACCGTAATGCATACAGGCTTCAGCTTTCACTATATCTACTGCTTTCTGATCTTTGTCAAGAAGACATAATGTTAAGATTTAGTGAGGAGGAAATCTTCTCAGTACCTACTTTATTACCGACTTATTTTTTCTTTTTTCTGGACAAACAAAAGTGTTCTTGAATATATTATTCTATACAACTTTTTCCACAATACTTTGTGGAAAAAATTAGGTCTGCATGCCAAACTTAATACAGTAGTGACTTAAAAAAATTTTCCACCTCTTTCGGACTGAAAAGTTCGCGAATATTTAGAAGGTTATGTTAATAAAGAATGTAAATATGCCAAAATCAAAAAAAGAGATTTTGCAAATGAATCCATATGTTCACTAATTTTATGTTCAGATGTTGTTTTTACAAAAAGTGGGGAAACTGTTAAGCCTTGTACTCATGACTATTTAAGTGTTAAGAATACTCGGGGATTTTTCAACAGGTTTATTTTTAATGCGTATTTAGACTAAGCAACACTAAGGTCAATCCAGAGACATTGGTTTCCACTTTAAAGTTTGATGCACAGAATGTGCTATATTCATTTTGGAAATAGATAGCATGACATTTCTGAACTTCTTATTCAGTTAGGCTAAAAAGGTTTTTTCTGTATATGATGTTTGCTTTTTTACTGTTGACAATATCCAGAGTTTTTAAACCTCTTTTTCAATCAACTCTATCCTTAAATCTTTTGTAGGGAAACAAACAAACTTAAACTACAAGAAAGTCAATCTAAAGTTGGTCTTACTGACAATCGAGAGATGACTTCTGTTTTTCTGAAAAGTGACAGCTTCCACAGATGATAGCGCTTATCTCGATGTATAATGTTGACATGTTTCAGTACTTCAAAACTTCACAAGCAACTAAAAACGTTAGAATTCCTTTTGAAATTATGCCTTCCACTTCAGCCTATTTTCCCCAGAAAGTGAGTAAGAAAGGATTGAAAGAATCACCGAATACAAAAAAAATGTCTTTCAAAGGTTAGGTAGTCATCGTCATATGACATTAGTTTTAATTTTAGTTAGGTTTCATTGAATTTCGAGACTTAAAAAACAACTCTTGACTGGACCCATTCTGACTTTTATTGATGAGTAGCTTAAGAGCTGTTTTGTTCCCACTGTGTTTACTGACTACGAAAAA